TTCTTAAATTGCCCTTGGAGTTCTTGGATTGCATCAAACTGCTAAAAGACCTCAACAAAAACAGCGTCTTGAAAATAAAAATGAAAATATTCAGTGAAAAAAAAAATGATGAAAGAGCCACTAAAAATCTTCAAGCCTTTGAGCTGAAATCTGGAAGTCAATCTGTGGACTTTACTAGTATGTCATAATTACTAAGTCATCATTTGTGTATAATAAATACACTAAACTGTAAACACTTGTTAAAATGTGTATAATTTTTAGATATAATTTGTAGCTCACAGACTTCAATAGTTTCATGTAATGTAAGTAATAATGAAAATTTCCTGTTGTCTAGCTAGATTAGAAACTATTATTGTCCAATTTTGGATATTGTGAAATAATTCATCTAGTATGCATACATGTGTGTACACTTACGTGTAAATTAATTGTTATAGCAAATTCAATCGATCATTAAGTTGAATGTTGACTAATGTTTTTCATCAAAATTGTTTACACTGAATTGTTTTTGGATTTTTCCATTTGCCCAGTCATGTCAAGGAGCACATGGCAGGAAATGCTTTCTCCTCCATTGCACCTGGTGTTTTTAGAGGTCTGTGTTTGCTCTGCTCTAATTATGTATTGTTTCAATGGACTTTAAAGCTTGATCACTGTTGGTAATCTTCATATTTCATATACTATTAGAGTACTTGAAGAAAACTGTAAAGATTTAACATACAGTATAATGCATGTATATTGCACTTTAAGTACAGTGTATGTGGTTAAGAAATGTTAAATCGTCTCATAGTGCATTGAATTTGTTGAAAATTAGAAAATGTGTTGAATTTTTTTTTTAAATAATGTTAGATTGCAGATTTTTTTAAATCATGTAAGTAAGAAATTGCTAAATATTTTTTAGCTTTTCTGGACAGTCTAGATGAGTTCTTATTATATACCTAGCATTGTCATCCCAGTTAAAATTTAAGGAGCAAAGTTCATTCCTAAGCTCTACCTGGACAAACTTGCATGGATTAAAGCACATTAACAGATTTACTTCAGATGCTTGACCTGATCTACATTTTCCTCATGTGTTTTTTTTTTTTGTTTTTGTTTGTTTGTTGTTTAACATCCCTCTCAAGAATTTTTCATCCATATGGAGATGCCACTACTTGCTGGTGGAGAGCTGCAAAATTTGACCTATACTTTGCACTCAGGGCCTTGAGCAGTAAGGGATCTTTTTTGTGCCCACATCAACTGCTAGGCGGGACTTCGGTTTATATGGTCTAATCTGAAGGACTGGTCCCCACATCCCCAGTGGATTTGAACCTGAGACTTAAGGATTAAATCCTTACTCGCGACTCTAGATTACAAACTCTATCCTTTGCGCCACATGGGGGACTCCACAAGATTAAGTGTTTTGAGCAGTCCTATTCTCATGTAATTATAAACTCTATGTTGAACAAACCTGCAAAGATGATGTATGTAAATGTTTCAGGGTACCAATCCTTGATTTGACTTAGATTTTCTGGATTAATGACCAGTTTTTTAGAGAAGGTTCATTCAAAGTAACAATATACTCTTTGGTGATCAGTAAACATAGATGATATATCCTGCTTCTGATGCTGGATGTAACATACATTTTCAGGGTTATTGAGCAGTTAAATCTAACCCAGACCAACTTGCATAGATTTTGGATCCAGGTGATATACATTACCAGAGTGTTTGTTGAGTGAGACTTTGCCTTACTAGTAGATAACATTTATAGAAGTGAGCTTTGTATTCTTTGATTAGGTATGTTTTTTCTTTGCTCAGGATATATATACCATCAGTGCCAACTACCATACATTTTATATAATAGATGTAGCTGTTGTTCAACTGAATATGATAAAACTGTGGATGAAAATAATTTGATTTTTGTACCTTTGAATGTATTGAATTCATTTGTAAAAGCTGTTATGATACAATGTTTGATATTTTATAAAAGTTTTTAGCATATGCAATCAATAAATGTATCAACATTTTTATTTTATTATACTTTTTACCCTGCAAACTTCTTAAAAACAGAATAGTAATGATCCATTTAACTGATACTAGGTTAGTGTCACATTGTACTGGTATATCATGTATACTGAACTGTAAATAAGAAACATCTAAATAGGTAAAATCACAGCATGAATCATTGGATTATTAAGAAGTGCACTATCTTGTGCTTTGGTATGGTATTAATAATAAATGTTAAACTATCATTTTTTTTCAAATTAACAATTGATATGCTTGAATGACTGTATTTTGACTAGCAGTAAAAATAAAATGATTTTTAAGCATTTGAATTATTTTGATTCATGGTCTCTGCAAGTTTAATGATAGCAAATATGTATATTGAACATGGCATCCACATATTGCTATACTGGATGGGGCATAACTTTTACTGAATCTTAATCACAACCTTGAAATTTTATGTAGTACATGTACTCTTGGTTTCAACTGGTCAAATGTATTCTTAAATCAGAAAGAATTTAAACAAATATAGGCATAGGTCAGAACTTCATCAATTAGTTGGAAAGCGAATGCACTCAGTGACTATATGGTTTAAAAGAAGCTTGGTATAAATAGCAGGAAAAACTACTTGAAGTCCACTGTGAACTTTGTGTCCTCAACAAAACAATATGGAGTATACTATACTTGGTCTAAAGAATAATCTATGTCTGCATTCACTTTTAGGTTAAACTGTTTTGGGCATTGAGAGTTTGTTTGTTGTTTAACGTCCCTCTGGAGAATTTTTCACTCATATGGAGATGCCAACACTTGCCGATGGAGAGCTGTAAATGAGCTATGCTTGGCACTCAGGGCCAATGGGCAGTGAGGGATCTTTTTCATGCCAGCATCTACTGCGACACTGGACCTCTGTTTGTATGAAGGACCGGTCTCTACGTCCCACAGTGGGATTCAAACTGAGAAAAGGATCAACTAACTCCACGACTCTAGAGCATTGGCTCTTTCCACTGCACCACGTGGGCGACAGCATTGAGAGTTAAATGTGGATATCAGAACAAGCTACTCTGGGCTTATACTCTCTATATATTGATTGATTGTATGTTGTTTAACATTCCTCTCAAGATTTTTTCACTCAAATGGAGACACCACCACATGCCGGTGGAGATCTGCAAATTTTGTCCTGTATCGGCACTTACGGCCATTGAGCATCGAGGGATTTTTTTCGTGCCAGCACCTACTGCGACACAGGACCTCGATTTATACGGTCTCATCTGAAGGACCGGTCTCCCCATCCCACAGTGGGATTTGAACCTGCAACGTAAGGATCAACTCCTTACTTCGCTACTCTAGAGCAGACGCTCTAACCACTGCGCCACTGGGGCAACTACTCTCTATTTAAGTCACTTGTGCAATGACTTTAGTTTAATTCAACGTTTTGTACTGATCATGTTGAGTCACATTAGCACAAATATCTTTCTGCTGACCTTGACTAATGACCATCCGCAACTATTCTGGTTGGAAACAATATGTTAATTAATGCATAATAAGTGAAATTACTATGAAAGAAAAATGGTCTACTTAAACCACAAGTTATATTTATAAAAAATATACACTGGTCTCCTTAAGTCATATGAGAGAAACATAAAATATTAAGGAGACCATTTTTTTCATATATTTTTAGGAGGCATTTATTATGAAAAAATAAAGCAAGAGTCGACTAAATGGTGTTCTATAGATCTTTGATCTGGTATTTCTTTTTAGAAAAAAGCAAATTTAAAAAATTTGTATATTGTCTCCTTAAGCCATATATAATGGTCTGGTCTCCCAAGTCCTTAAATCAGAGTTATATATATATATATATATATATTGGGGTGGGGGGTGGGGGTAAGTATACATGTATTTACATGTATTCCGTAAACAGAGGTTTGCCGCTGGATTAGATCATAGTTTCCTCTAACATATAGAATTTAGAATTTCGACTGCATCACAGGCACTTGTGGACAGACCTGGCCCCGGCCCTTCTCCCTAATACAGCCCGAGACTTTAGGACTTAAATAAAACTCTTGCTGTGGCCTTCGACATTTAGCTATAGATATATCGACGACGGTTGAATTATCAATTAACATTTTGGCTCAGTCGGTAGAGCGCTCGCTCCGTGATCGAAAGGTCATGTATTCGAATCGCGACTGACCTAAGTAAGAAAACTAACTATGAAAAAGCAACCATAATTTATTTTAACAGATTTTCACACTCTTTAATTCATGTATTCTGAACAAGTAAATTATTAAATGGGGACTTGTATACCTTTGATAAATAATTGAATTCCCCCCACATACCCCATGTCCCTCCCCCACCCGCTTCATCATGATAGTTTATTTTCTAAACTTAAAGACTTCTATTGTTTTTTAAAGCAAACAAATGAAGTAGCTATGGAATTTTCTGTAGAAATATTTTTCAATGGCACATTTTCAAAGTGACGCTAATTGATGAATAAATATCGAGGTATACTTTTTCTAGAAGTTGTAGAAAGAAAAAGAACCTGTTAACTACTACATTTTGATAGCTTTTTAAATGCAACAGAAAAAAACTCTAAAGATTTTTTCAAAGTGTGTTAAACACTTAATTATGCAAATATGCCTAGAAATATGTTTAAATCTGTTATAATATTATTATTGTGAATTCGATATCCATTTAGTACGCTGTCCCCTGCTATTTTCATTTTAATCATTTACTAGGCCTATATGAAATGGACTATAATTATGAATTCCTAATATAATATCTGATAAATAAAAAGATGCTTTGCTTGAATATGAGAACTGTCGACTATTGAGATTGGTTGAAATCGTGTGATAAAAGAAGTGGGTATACTTCTTCCGGAGATACTGGTCAGAAAAGTAACCAGTCAAGGCATGCATTTTGCGGACTTTTTTTATTACCTTAGACGTTATTCTCACAGACATTATGAGTATAGCTATTTGCAGCGGCGTTTAAATTTCCCGCGGTTCCAGATGTCAATTCCATCGGCTAAACAGAATCTAATTTTAGAACAAAGCACACATTCTGGCATTTCAAGGAGTCTGCCTCTCAATGTCGGCATGGCCAAAAAGCTAGAGGCGTTACTAGGAGATCATGTCCTCCGACAGAATGGGGACACCCTGGAGCAGGTGCCTGTGGGGACAATGTGTGGGGAGGGGCGAGTGGTGGGACTCTACTTCTCGGCCCATTGGTGTCCGCCGTGTCGAAACTTCACGCCGTTATTGATCGATTTATACAAAAACGTGAAAAAATCTGGCGACAATTTAGAGATTGTTTTTGTGAGCTGGGACAGGGATGAAGCGAGTTTTAAGGAATATTTTTCATCCATGCCCTGGACAGCTGTGCCATTTGATCCTAAGAAAAAGGTGGGACGGATCTCTATAATTATCTCGATCTCTTATTCATGTTATTTAATATGTTAATGTTTTATTTGTCATGTATAATATCCAATGGCGCGCCTTTGAGCAATAAAAATACAATCAAATCAAACTGCGTTACTGTAAGAGAAATTTTCTTGTACTTTTAAATTAATCACCAGATTTTTTTTTAACTTGAGCATCTACACCTAGATCTAAACAGAATGATAAAAAGTGTTCATCCTAAAATCTGATTACAAAGCTTGCACTGCAATGTTCATATTCTTAGAGCTTTTTCAGAAAAGATAAGTCTATTTAAAAGGCCATTGAAGAATTCAATCTTAGACTAGGATCAACATTCTTCTGGAAATTGAATACTTCATAACATCTTTAAATCTTTGGGCAACTGTTACCTTACGTATTTAAGTTCAGGACATAAAGGCATTATTTGTGTATTGAATGTTCTAAAGAATTTAAATTGATTCTTAATTGATTTCTTCATGAGCATTAAAGGAAGAGGGAGAAACAATTTGCACTCCGTAGTCCAAAGCTGGGTTTTCATAGGGGTTTTCTTTATTGAAGTTAGCATGAACAGTATGAATGTGCAGTAAAGAGTTAAGGCCCTTGTCACTCATGACCTTTGATAGCTTTCATCCCTTCCCTTTAACATGACTTCATACTGTAGCTCATTTTACATTATTTATTACATATATTATCAATTGGGTTACATGGACTTGTTGTTTAATGATGCTTGTTTGCTTATTTATATATTCAGTATGATTTTGTAGGCAAGATTGACCAAAAAATTCCGAGTACAGGGAATTCCCAAATTTGTGTTAATTGACGGAGAGACAGGTAAAGTGATTACGTGTGAAGGCTATTCCTGTGTAATTAATGATAAGGAGGGATGTGAGTTTCCATGGAGACCAAAAAAATTCCATGAAGTTATTCAGGGGAAGTTACTATGTAGTGATAGAAAAGAAGTTGATGCTTTGGAAAATCTGAAAGGAAAAACCATGTGCCTCTATTTCTCAGCACATTGGGTAAGGATTAACCTATAATACTGCTTTAGCTTTAAAATTTGGCAGGGTTTACATTTTTTGTTTGACTCTTTTTTTTCCTTTGTGTACATTGTTTTTTATAATCATACAGCATTAATGTTTGATAATATTTTCCTAACCAGACAGATATGGTCACCATAACTGGTCAGTGTGAATGTGAGGATCATCATTTTAATTCAGGTTAAAGGTCAATTTTTAATGTAAACTGTATAATTCAAAAGAAAGATAGATTTTAGTAATTTGAAAAGGCAAAGGTTGAATTGGGATAAAAAAGAAAATTTTAATTATTATCCTTTAATTTTTACACAAAGGAAATTTTGTTTCACCTGCATTGTGTGCAGATCAAGTTTATGTCTCCCAGTTGATTCAGTATGCAAGAGCATGTCCTATATACAAACAATTTCTAAAATGAGGCAAGCTATTGACAAATAAGTTGATGATAGAGGATATCAACAATCTCATTCGCAAATTCCATGGTTGATAGTCAGTGACTTTATTTGAATATACAATCTTTTGTTCACCGACATTTTTCATACAGATTGTTTGGCCATTATTTTCACACTGAATTGACTAGAGATTTTTGGTTTACCAGAGCATGACAAGGAGCACATGATAGGTGTGACAGGTTGACAGGGGATGCTTACTCTTTCATGGCACCTGATCCCACCTCAGTTTTCAGAGGTCTTTGTTGCCTTTTATCATAACTCCTCTTATACAATTGAATTTAATGAGACTTTCACAGAATTCTTTATAAAATAGTGCACCTCCTATTTTACTTTTTGATTGGACACATATTTCCGGTCTCCAATAGCAAAACATAGACACTGCCCCCCCCCCCCCCTCCCCCCCGTAGAGCAAAACTTCCTTTTTATAGGTATCATGAATTGTGTTTTGACAAATCCATGCCAAAGCTTTTGTTGTTTCCTGGGGGTTGGGGGTTGGGGTGACATATGTTTACTATGTTTACAGACAAAAAAAACTTTCATTTTCTTACCAATTTCAGAAGAAATTGCAACTAAAAATTTGTACCTTATCAATCTGATAGGTTTAATTTTACACGAGTTAAACATACAGAAAAATTTGGGGCTCATTTATCCGTATCCATGAGTATTTTAAAATCTGGTGATGTTTTAAAGCTTGATTTCAATGGATAACATTGTCTACCCCCTTATTTTAAAGAGTTGTAATTAAGAGCAAGTAACTATTTGACACTGGTATTTAAATTATTAGTCAATAAATCACTGAACCCTTGTTTACAATCAAAAAAGTTTGTATGGCCAAATTGTCATTAATATTGTCAATAAATAAAATGGATGTAAAGTGTAAGTGGGAATCAGGAGTTAGTGTGCATAGTTCTTCCTTTAATATAAATGTGTTATATTTGCATTCATTAATTAAAAACTCAGGTAAAAATCTGACACCGTATGCAGTATATGACCAAAGAGCAGATGGTAGTACAGTTATAACTGTCTCTACAGAGTGTTCCCTTTGAAAAGTTTGTAAAATAAATAAAACAAGTTCAATATTTTTGTTTTTTCTATAAAAAAAAAAAGCCTGCAAGTACATGTAAATTAATGTGAATATTAAAATGTCTTGTATGGGTGGCCATGGCATTCGATAGACACTGCACAATTAATGTAAGATTGTACCGTAAATCTAGATCTGTAGCAACTGGAACTGTGGGAGTCCAGATACAGGTGCCAAAGCACTGAGTGGCTTCTAGGTGATATAACATGTATCACTCTTCATCCTCAGCGTCATACCACCATTGTTGTTACATCGTCACTGACCACCATCAGTAACCACCAACTTCATATCGGTGCAGTGGTGCGTTAGCAATTTTGTCTAGTGTATAATATATTCCACAATACTGTCCATCAAATTGTGGCCTATTTTTATTCTTTTCTGTAGACTGTATATAGTCTTCAAAAAAAAATAAAAGATAATGATTATAATGATGGAGTTACATGTATGATTTCATCATTTATTATTTATATTCAAAAGTTTCATAAAAAAAAATTATCATTGTAAGGTGCAATCTAAATTACAGCACTCCTTTATCATGTTTAGATCTGTGAACTAAATTGAAACTTTATTTTTACTTTGAAAAAAAGGTACATTGTACATTTGTTGTAAAATATTATTCTTAGTTGAATTAAAAAAAAAAGACTGCAGAATCAACACAATGCAGTACTGTGCCCTGACTGGCATCTTCTCCCTCTACAATGCTCACAGCTTTCCTTCTGTAATCTTACCCTAACCCTAGTAATGGTTTTAAAAGGTTTAAAGTTTTTGTGATTTATGTCAGGTTTGATAAATTTTGACACAAAATATTTCAGGTGACCTACATTTAAGGCATGTAATAAATATTTATCTACAAAATATGCAAAAACTGTGCAAAGGCTTTCTAGTGTATTATAAATTTCAAGTACATGAAAATTTATAATTATTAAGTTGTAACCTGCTCTCTGTTAATGTTTTATTAATTCATATTAATTGAATGACTTGTATAAATATATATATATATAGTTGTATTATTTTTATGTCATGCCATATATTTAATTTAATCAATATTTATAATTTTCTCCCACTTGCGCAAAAGCATAGGGACATTAAATCTCTAGTCAATCATCGGTCAGTCTCTCTGCCACAAAATTTTAACCTGACATGGTCATGACTTTTGAATGAGAGAAGATATACATGTAGGCTTTCATATTTCACGTGTAATGTGTGTATTACCTGTGAGAAGATCTTTCCGAATGTACTAAAATTTTTAACCCCATGGACTTGACCTTGAAGTTTGACCTACTTTTGTACCTTTAGCACCGTAAGGGACATGTTTTTCAAATTTTTACAAGTGCATTACCTGTGACAAGACCTTTCCCAATACATAATGATTTTTGAACTCATGACCTTGAACTTGAAATTTGACATTTTTTTTCCAAAATTTTAACATGTTTAACCTTGGCTGTAACTTTTGCACCTGAAGAGATGGGCATTTCATATTTTTTCTCATGTGCATTACTTTTGACAAGACATTTCAGAATAAACTAAGATTTTTGACCTGACAGGGCCTATAGCAATTTGATTTGACATGAATCTTGGCCATAATTTTTGCACCAAACATATTTAGCTTCCCAAATATTTAAGCATTGAATTATTATTTTTGGATGTCATCTGTTGTAAAACAGCACCTGGCGATGAATTTAATTATGCACATTAGCAAGGTATAATAATTTGTCGGCAAGACCAGGTGCTTTAACTTATATGACTGACAACATCAGAAAATAATTTAATGCTTACTGTTTACATTTTCTAATTTTCTCCCTTAAATAATGATCTTCATTAATCTTTATTTTAAATTTAGCACCTTTCAGAACTTGTACAGGGTAGAGACAGCTGAATTAGAGCTATTGTGATAGGGAAGGCAAATAGATATTGTGAGGGGGGAAATGACCAATAAATTTTAAAACATTATACTGTTTGATTTTTACAATCATTTAATCGGGAAACATTTTTAATTAAATTGACCAAAAAAAAAAAAATAAATAAAATAAATACACATTATGTTGCTCCTAATGTATTGAAAGTGTACTTAGTTCCTACTGTGTACTCTTGTCTTGATTAAAGGTTGAGGGTTTAGAATGTTCCAGTAGGCGGTTGAATGATTGAGAATTTTCCAATGGATTTCAAGAAAGAAAACGCAGTGATTATGTAAATATAAAACTTTTCTTTGGCAAGATGGACAGCTAATCTGTAATACAACAGTTATACTGATCTGTTACACAACAGTAATAATGATCTGTTATACGACAGTAATACTGATGATAGATCTGTTATACAACAGTAATACTGATCTGTTGTACTGATTTGTTATACAATAGTGATACTGATCTGTTATACAACAGTGATACTGATCTGTTCTACAACAGTGATACTGATCTGTTATACACCAGTTATACTGATCTGTTGTACTGATCTGTTATACACCAGTTATACTGATCTGTTATACAACAGTAATATTATTATGAGTAAGACAGATCTGTTAATTATTCTTAAAACCAAAGAAGGTAAAGGGCAAGGTTAAGGGTAGTCAAGGTTGTAGGTCAAAGGTTAAGTATGAATTATAGGATTTTTATCTTATTTAGGAATTTCTTGTTTTTACTTTCAATTGTAATAATGAATTTATAATAGTCCATATTTTTCACTCTGTAATCAAAACCATTTTGTGTGTGTTAAAACAGACAAGCTTATAAATATATTTTGTATGGTGGAAGGAGAATTCAAGGCAAGATGGTGCATTATGTACAAATTTACTTGTGTGTTTTTCCTGCATTTAATGAAAATAACATAAAAACAACAACTGTTTGCAAACATTTCGGTTTATGCAGCAACTGATGCAGGGAGTGTAGAACCTTCAGGCACATTAAGCTAGGCATACGCAAGTGCTTCCACATCATTTTCACAAAAAAAATATATAAATAAATAAATAATAATAATAATAAAACAAAAAATTAAATCCCATCATAAATCAGGCAATACTTTTTCTTCTTTATGCTTAATTTCATGATGAGGAAATAAGCATTTTAAACGTTGAAACTCAGGATTATTTTAATGAACTCTCTTTTCTTAATACTCAAAATTAATGTGTCAGAAATGCTGAAAACTCGCCAGCTTCGGGGGCTTCGCTCCCTGACCCCTGGACCCATTGGGGGCCTAAAAGCGGCCCCCAAACCCCCTGCCTTGATTTGCTTCCACATTGAACACCCCCTAGCTATGCCCCTGACCTTGCCATTGTAATATTGTACACATATAATGCTCTGAAAATCAGTTTCCAACTGTATCAATGATAAATGGAAAACTCATTTCTTCTGGGAAAACTTATTTTAGTAAACTTAAATATAAATATGATATAGAGTGTAAATTGCAAATTTTAAGTTCCAAACATCTTTGTGTTATAATTGATATAATAATTAATACATTTAATTTTAGTGATAATTAAGGAATTGTTACAGAAATACTTCCTTCATCTGAATTGCTAAAATGATCCTTTGCTCTTTTCATCAGTGTAACTGTCACTTAATTTAAATTCAATTTGTGACCATCTGAGGGCAGAGATTGGCCCGAAGTTTGGGGGTCAATTTTTCCTATAAAAATATATTGCATAAATCTCTATTTTTTCACTCAAGAAGCAGTTTTTTATCGTGCAGCATTGAATCTGATGGGGGGAGGGATTATCAGGGGTCTATGCTGTATACTTCTGATGCAATTTAATGTACAAAGAAAAAAAAATAAATTTTTTCCCAAAGAACAAGGATCAATACACATTAAATTATAAGGAAAACGTTTTTATCAAGTTTTAAACAGAATTATGGATAAAGAACTGAACATAGAATGTTCTCAGCTGAGTATAATTTTTTTTAATGTGACAATGTGACAGAGTCTTTTAAGGCCCCTTGGTTACTATCCCTCCTCTCTCTCTCTCTCTCTCTCTCTCTCTCTCTCTCTCTCTCTGTAATTTGTCATTTTCTGGCTTTAGTTCAATGATAAGGAGAGAAGAAGCTGTTAGTATTTATCTCTGATTAATTCATACTGTTACAATATTGCTTAGTGATGAGACAGTAATTCCCTGTAATCAGAAATGTCTTGCACTCCAATATAAAACAATCCAATGAATGTACCACTCCTGCATACAACATATGTAAACAGAAGATAATTAATTAATTGGTGTTTGACCTGAAGAACCAGCCACCAGACAAATTGATTGAATTAATTGCCAGTTAGAAATCTCAAAAATAAAAAAAAATATTTTCATGGCTTCCACAGAATGGTAACTGATAAACTAAACCTTAATTAAAACAACTAAACAGAGCAAGACTTCATAAAAATGTATGGTTGCTGAATGTTTCTTGGAAATGGCAGAAATGAATCTGAATTTAATGATTGAGATGATCAACCCATTAAAGGGCCTAGTAATCCCCCCCCTCCCCCCAGCCTGTGTTAGAACTGATCTCTAGCAATTTAGTTTGAATTAAAGGGAAAACACTAATTAATGTTTATTTGTTGCTAATTTGGAACCTACCTTTATAATATAATCTACATATTATATACTAATAGATAGTTTTCCACAGGCATAAGTTTATCAAGTGTTATATCACATTGGCTGCCATATTGAAGGTCAGCATGCTTATATTCTTTTACTATTTAATGTTTAACCAATTTTCATTTGTCTTACTGGTCATTGAAGTGTAGGGAACTTTTTTTCTGAAGAATTAATATACATTTACTGGGGTTTGGGAGGGGATGGAGGTGTTAAATTTACCCCAAATGACTAGTCATAGCATTGTCTACAATAACTTATTCATCTAATACACATTGTCAGTAATAGAAATGTTGGGGAGGTTTACAGACATGAACTCCTTCACTTCAGTGACAAATTAATATCTTTGCCATGAGAAGAATGTCATGTTTGTAGCTCTCTGAAGTCAGCAGCTGTTGTGTTAGCCTAACATTCTGACTTTGAAGGTGAACATTGTAGCAGGCATTAATGTCTGTTCTAATATTTTAATCTGCTGTCTATGGGAAATGAAATGTATAATCACAGAGAAGATGGGTTGTCTGCCCTTGTAAGGCATCTTGTTCACTCTGTCCGAGTGACTTCTTCGCTGATCCGCTACTCTCCTCACAAACCCTTGGGAATATGAGAACGGAAGAGAAGCGGATCAGAAACCCTTGGCTAGCAATGATGTCCGAGTGATTGTATATATAGTATCAGAATAGAGTTACTAGTAGTTTAGTCTCTAACAACCCACAATAACTTCACACACATTAACCTTATGGTATATCCAGAGTTTGAGTGATGTTGTTATCTAGAGAAAACATATCCTTTCTGTAATACTTTTAAACTACTGTAAACGTCCTTTTTTTTCCATGGGGTCATTATAATTCACAGAATCACAATTTTTGGGTAGAGTATTACACAGATTTCTCGGACTGCCTTTCTTATGACTTAATTGCACTCTAAGTATGCTGGACAAATTTCTATTGTTAAATGTGACTGCGTACATAGGGTAAATTAATCCAATGCAGAAAAAGTATGCCAAAAGTGCATACAGATCCTAACTAGTACAGATAAATGCTGAAAACTTTTGTTTGAAAATGAATTCCACTGTCTCACACCAGTGTACAGTGGTATAAAATGATTGAGTTTTTATCCTCGGCTTCAGCAGCTTCTGTATCCAGTGATTATTATAATGGCTGTCTGAACTAAGAATACCTCCTTAGTGTCATGTTCTACTAAGAGCATCTTTAAGTTTTTATTCTTTGTTTCTAATAAGAACTTATGTCATCTCAGTGTGAATGAAACCAGGAAATCCATCATTTTCTTAACAGACCATTCACTACATAACATTTTAAAGGAAACAAAGTTTGTTTATTTTTTTATTCAGTCTATAATACTGATGTTTTGATGCAGACAGAACAATTCTTTCTGATCAGCTGTTGAGTGATTCAGTCTATGATTTCATAGTTTACTGTAGATTGATAATTATATGCAAGCAATTAATATTGCATAATTTCGCAGCAAGCACCCACTGGAAAAGTATAAGTCTTCTCTGTTATTTTTATGGTGCTGAAATACATTTATAAACTCCTGATTAACTGTCCACTCATAAATCCAGGTTCTCCTGTATGACGTCAACAAGTCATTTCACGATACATACTTGTGTAAAATAAGAAATAAAGCAACTATATTAATATGATTAATAATGATGACTCTAAAGAGAAATGTGTGAATATTATACTCACTCTGTTTTGAATATTGACCTTGACCTGGTATATTGTTTATACTCACTCTGTTTTGAATATTGACCTTGACCTGGTATATTGTTTATACTCACTCCATTTTGAATATTGACCTTGACCTTTCTTTTTCAGTGTCCCCCCTGTCGTGCCTTCACCCCGATCTTGGTCAAGCTCTATAAGAAGTTACGAGAGGACAAGAAGAATGTGGAGATTATCTTCCTGTCATCTGACCGATCCCAGGAATCATTTGACCAGTATTTCGACACCATGCCATGGCTGGCCGTACCATTTGGAGATTCCAGAATTGAACAAATGAAAAATTTATTTGCCGTAGATGGTATGTATTTGTTTGTTATGGAATCATTCCTTGACAGGGGTAATTTTAGTTGTTAACTACATCTGCATGGGAGACATATCAGGGGAAATTTTGTCATATTCCTCTAGCTTAGCTCTCTTTTTAGAACAGCTATTTACATGTGAACTATACATATTACATCTTTATGAAATCTCTTGAAAATAATTTTCTTAAGGGATGTAGCATCCTTTTTCCTAGCATTGGTGTGGGGTGGGGGTTATCCAGAAAATAATGGAAAAGCAATTAAAAGAAAGAAAAGTGACTGAAAAATTTTGACAAGAGGGGGGTAGCTGCCATAGTGACATTCTGCTCGTAGTATGTACTTTGTCTGTAAATAATGGTATTTAGGATGTGCTATTAGTCTAGATCTGTGTTTGTACTTTTCCTGTCTGTAAACAAATATTGGTAATTATGTCTGTCTGTCTGTAAATGTCTTTTCTGTTTATGGTTTTATTTGCCCGTAATGTGATATGGTTTATTTTGTATATTGATTTTGTCTTTCTCTATGTAAATGCCTATTTTGTACATGATTTTGTTTGATTGTGAGTCTTTTCTGTCTGTAGGTATACCTATGTTGGTTGTAAATGCCTATTTTGTACATGATGTTATTTGATTGTGCAAGTCTTTTCTGTATGTAGGTATACCTATGCTGGTTGTACTGGATGATAAAGGAGAAGTCATTACAATAAATGGTAGGGGAGCAGTCATGATAGACGAAGAAGGTCTGGTAGGTACAAAAATATATAACTATTCATAAGTCTCCTTCTAAACAAGGCATGAAATTGTCAAACTTAGTATAGTATCAATAGCCAGGTAATTCAGTTCTATTTCATGTGTGTGCCTTAGAAATATTTGTCAAATGGGTATTTTATAGGGCTGTCCCCGGTGCAAAAATATAGATATTCCGGTATATTGCATTTCGTTTACAAAAAATATCATATTGCGATACATTTTTCCAGTACCGATATACAGGCAAAATGCTTGGGCTTTAGGTTTATTAAGTAAAATATGAAATTTAAGATGTCAGAAACGTTTTCAATCATGCCAAACCGTACCAAATGGTAAAGGTTTCTGTTTGGTTGCATTTTGTTGCCAAACTGTAATATTTACATTTGCAAATGTTTTCTTTTATATAACACTATTAAAAGCAACGCGTATCTATATCCGTATAAACACAGGTTCCTCATGTCATTAATGTTCGACATAATTTCTCAGTGACGTCATAAAGGGTAGACGCGCAATCAGTGGATCAAACAACATTTTTATTCCTTGCGACAAGACCTTCCTTTGGATACCAACAATTATAATCCATTGTCCTTGGCTTTGGAGTTTGACCTACTTTTGAAAGACTTTAACCTTGGCCAAACACGTGCCGTTGGGTTTGAAAAATAAAACGTTTCAGGTGTTAAAGATTATAATCAGGCAAATATAAAATATGAATAAGTCACACAGCCCTTCGGGCTTTATGGAATTTGATCTCGTGACCAACCCATATTTATATCCCGACAGATGTTTAAAAATGATACCTTATTTCTTAAATAAAATCAACTAGAACTTTTTTTTGTTACAACATATTTATAAAAGTTTTTTTACACTCTGCTTATAAATGGAGGTTAAAATAAAAAAAGAGCATTTTAACTGTTATTGAAAATAGTGCAATACATATTGCAGTACAGTTAAAAATATCACAATATATTGCAATAGGAAATTCCCAGCCGATACCTAGTCGTAGTACTTTATTTTACTGTGTGCATGGTGAGGGCTATTTGCTTTAGTATACTCTGCATCTAACCCCAGAAAAAAACAATATACTGTATTTTTTTTTCATTTTTTTTTATTGGTTAAGTTAAATTGAGTTGTATATCAGGTATGGCTTATCTAATGGTAGGTGTTAACTGAGTGAAATGTAAACTGTACATAGGCTTTAGAGATCTCATGGTATGATAGCTTTATTGTCTGTCAGATCCATCACTAGTGATAACAGAATTCTCCCCACAGAAGAAAAACATATGTGCAGATTGACTTTGACATATCTCTTCAAGTTTTAAGGATTCCGCCTGTGTCTGAATTATGAGTGGATGAGGCCTCAATTCTTACGTTGTAAATACAAACACAAGGTTCATTTTTTGTGGCAATCTGCAAAGATATTATTTTCAGCTGTAAAAAGCAAAATAATTGTGTGAGGCTTCAAACCTTGGTATAAAACATATATCCAAGATGTCAGGAACAGACAGAATTTGTAATATGCTACATTTAATGCTGACATTCAAAAGGAGGTCTTCACTGTGTAATTGTGTGTAACACACTGATGTTCTTTCTACAAAATCTAGAAAATATTTGACAGACTGTTAGATATGCTACATGTTCTAACTATTAAAAGTTTAAAATAAATATCATTTATTTGTTTTCACCCAAATCTGAAATAAATATACTATCAAAGGGTCAAGGTCAAATTTGAATCACAAAATTACAAAATTGTCCCAATTTAAAACATTATAAAACACAACAGGAGTTGATACCTGAGTATCTGTTGACAGGAGTTTCCATGGCACCCCAAACCTGTGAATGAACTTACTGGGAATGTGGCCATCCAGCTGAATGAATCTGCTTGTCTGGTTCTCTTCACAGGTAAATGTATACTTATACATGTATCTACCTGTCTGGTTCTCTTCACAGGTAAATGTATACTTATATCTATATATCTAGCTGTCTTCACAGGTAAATATGTACTATAAAGGGGGGTATTTTTGGGGGTTAAATGAGAAAATAGTTATTATTTATGTGTTAAACAAAGGGTGAAGATGAGTAATTAGTTATATTATACTTTCTTGTAAATTAGTTGAATCTGATTCGTCGAGAAACATTCGAAGATGAGTAATTATTAGTTATAATGTGTTATACAGAGGGTGAAGATGAGTAATTAGTTATAATATGTTAAACAAAGGGCGAAGATGAGTAATTATTAGTTATAATGTGTTATACAGAGGGTGAAGATGAGTAATTATTAGTTATAATGTGTTATACAGAGGGTGAAGATGAGTAATTAGTCATAATGTATTTAACAGAGGGTGAAGATGAGTAATTAGTTATAATGTGTTATACAGAGGGTGAAGATGAGTTATGATGTGTTTAACAGAGTGTGAAGATGAGTAATTAGTTATAATGTGTTGTACAGAGGGTAAAGATGAGTAATTAGTTGTAATGTATTATACAGAGGGTGTAGATGAGTAATTAATTATAATGTGTTTTACAGAGGGTAAAGATGAGTAATTAGTTACAATGTATCATACAGAAGGTGAAGATGAGTAATTAATTATAATCATTATAAAGAGGGTGAAGATGAGTAATTAATTATAATGTGTTATACAGAGGGTGAAGATGAGTAATTAGTTATGGTGTATTAAACAGAGGGTGAAGATGAGTTACTATTTATAATGTGTTTATAATACAGAGGGTGAAGATGAAGACATTGAGTGGGCCACAGAAGTCCTTACAGAGGCCGCCACTATAGAACACAACAAAGGGGAGGATCAAGAACTTTTCTTCTTCTTTGGTGGAGATGTAAGTTGAATTTTCCTAAAGAAATTTTCTCTCATAAAAGACTTTCCCAAACTCTCAATCTTAGTATTTTAATTTCATTTTTGAAATAAAATGTATAAGAATGTTTGCATCTATGTAAAGTAATTCCATTTCTGAATCAATTAAATTAACTAATGTTAAAATGTTCGTAAAATGTATACTACATATTTCATTTGTGGATCTATCCATGCAGGGGACGTGTATTTTACATTACATATTTATGGATAAAGCTCTGTTCATAAAACTTTATGACATTGCATATTTATGGAAAGCACTATCCAGAATACCTTAATCTATGGATAGCTTTATCTATGAATAGCTTTATCCAGAAGACCTTTACCTATGGATAGCTCTATCAATAGAAAACCTTTATCTTTGGATAGCTTTATCCAGAAGATCTTTCTCTATGGATAGCTTTATCCAGAAGACCTTTATCAATGGATAGCTTTATCCAGAAGACCTTTATCAATGGATAGCTTTATCCAGAAAACTTTTATCTTTGGATAGCCCTATCTTTAGAAGACCTTTATCTATGGATAGCTTTGTCTTTAGAAGACCTAATTTTCTATGGATAGCTCTATCTATAGATCTAAGACCTTTATCTTTGGATAGCTCTATCAATAGAAGACTTTTATCTATGGATAGCTTTATATCCAGAAGACTTTTTTCCTTGGATAGCTCTATCCAGAATGCCTCTTAATAATGTTATATTTTTCCACTTCAGGATGAAATCTGTGACTCTGTTAGAAGTTTTGCTAAGCTGCCAGATCCCTGCCCTCTGTTGGTTATTCTAGACTTCCCAGAACAGAAAGTTTACAAGTGTGCAGAAAAAACAATCACCAGTGATGTTGTCAAAGACTTTGTCAGGGGGTACTTTAGTGAAACACTGGAACCTATACTACTTAGAGGGCCAGAATAGAAACAGGAAGTCTGATGCTCAGAGGCCCAGAAAGTCATTTTGAATCTAAATCATTTAATACTACTATTGTATAGAGAAAAAAAGTAATCTATTCAAATAGAGAATGATAGGGTCTGAAGGGGGGATAATCCCTAGTCTTCTCGTTTTCTCCTTCAGTATTTGAGTATGTGTTACATTTGATATCTGTGTTACATTTGATATCTGTGTTACGTAAATCATGTATTTTGTCTTACATGTATGTTCATTTAATGAACTTATTCCACTAAAAGAGGAAATACTGTAAACAAACTATTATTTGCGTCAATTTTTATTCGCGCTTCGTCAGTTTGAAAACAATCTGCGACAATTAGTTATTCTGACTGAGGAAACATTCTCTACAAATACAAAGCAAAATAAATGGTTCGCGGCGATCAATGTTCACCAGTTAAAGTAGGTCACGAAACTCTTACAAGCTAATAAAAGCTGGTTTACAGTATTATGGTAAAGCTATTATTTGTGTCACTGTTGACTGTTAAATGTTTAGTATGTAAAACTTAAGTAGGCGTGGTTCTCTTCAAGTTTTTTAATTTCCTTTTTTTTTTACTTTCCTACAAAGCATTTATAAGGTTGATTTTTGGTACAGTACTTATCTAAAGACTTAACAGGCTTAATACATAAATGTCATTCATGTACTATAAAATACTATAAAATATGAAGATGATGCATTTTATGTACTATCTAGTACAATCATGAATTAGTATTTTCATTTAATATGAAATGTATATTGGTTTTGGAAATAAAATATTTTATGTTCATAAGTCCACACACCAAAAAATGAATTGGTATATACTAGGTAGAGAACTATTACTCCTTATATATTACACAGTGTTTGATATAGAAATAACATTTTGCATTCATGTACATTTATTTGTTTTTATTTGTTTGCTGCCACTGGTAATAATGTCATATTTTATTGTTGATATTAGAGTGAAATACCATATAATGGTTACAATACATCAGACCTGTGTTGTTACATGCAGTCATATGTGTATCACTATACATATTGTATTCCTATACATATGTGTATTCCTATACATACATGTATTCCTATACATACATGTCATGAAGTTTAGATGAGAAGGTTATAGCCACTACATTGGAAATTTTCATGGACATTCTATTGTGAATTCATTCTTTTTTTATTTTGGGTATGATTTTAATGAAATATTCACTGAGCTTGTTAAGACAATAGGCACATTGGCTTAAATTTAGCACAAACATGCTAAATTCATAGGCTTTAGTCCATTCTTTATATTTATTCAAAATTTTTAGAATCTCATTTTGTGTTAAGCATTCATGCTGGTGAAATTTTTGTATCTTAACTTTAGAAACTGCATTTGTATCCCGAATGTGTCCCTACATTTGTATTCCACATACAGTAAAACTTGTCTAATCCGGCCACCCTTGGTTCCAGGGAAATTGGCCAGATTAGACAACATTCCGGATTAGACATCATTTTGAACAATTAAAATAGCTGAAAGGGACTTGAAAGTTACATCATACTAGACAAGATTTCGGAATACACAAAATACGGATTAGACAAGTTTGACTGTACTAAGAAATGATATTTTTTTAAAGTATATATTTGATAACTTATGTTCAATAAAGGAAATATAACTGAATTCTACTAAGGAATTGGACCTCCCTCAAATTTAACACAAGCAATATTGCAAATATTTTATAGTAACATTATTTTTGACAATCATATGCATTTAGAAAGCAAGATTTTCATGCTATTCTGATTTTAAAAATGTAATTCTTCAGATATTTTAAAGCACATATCATGAGTATAATTAATTATGTAAAGAAATTACGCAATTTTTTAATGGATCTATGATCTGTGTCATTTGTATGTTTAGACTGTTTAAAAAAGTTACTCTTTGTAGTTTTGCAATTATGAGCTTCTTGCTATAGCTTGCATTGCTCTGTTTATTATTATTTCATTTTCTGCTTGATGCTGAAATGAAAAAACTGTCAAATCTTAGTGTGTCAATAGATGACTTTTTTAGTCTAAGGCTAGCTTTAGTTCAGCATTTCCAAATTCTATGAATTGTTCAGATGTGTCAATGTGGCTCTTTGCTGTTGTCTGTATTAAATGATTTGTGAATTAGTAACTATAGAGCATTGTATTCGTTTGGTCAGTATTCATCTAAGATGAAAAATTATTTAATAAAGAGTCATGGAGTTACATTTGTAATAGTTTGTATGCAATACTTGACTTCTGACGTAAGAATTTAGCAGTAAATGACCTAGAATCCCCATAACACACCCCCCCCCCCCAAAGTTGTAATAGAGAATCATTCCACAATGAGATCTGTCATATAGCATGTGTCTCTGATTGAATCACCTTTCAAAATATATGATTACTTTTAGAAAATTTAAAATCGCAAAATTTTTCAAAAATTAGCAACATCAAAACATGCGACTTTTCTATCCTTTATACAACCATTCCTCAATGATGAATTAAAACTAGGCTTTTTGATATCATAGACAACTGCTTGATTAATAAAAATGGAACCCAAAAATTTTCATATCTAATGTAAGTGGTCATCGACAAAACTACTTTGTTAACCAGAAGTCTCTGATTAGACTGTAGCTCTACTGGCTTATACTTAACAAAAGTACAGAAAGGTAGCACTTGGACTTGAAATTATGGTATCAGCAATAAATAAAATAATGATCCTTGGTTAAGTCTCTGAGTCAAGTTTAATTGCCATTGGGCAAAAACTGTAGTAGGCATAACATTTTGAAAGATTTTTGTAGAAATTTCTAGTTTTAGTAACCATGGAAACACCCAAACAAAATCAAAAACTGATAGAGAGAATTATGCATCTTAATTTAGTCTACTTGTATACCAAGTTATATTGAAATGGAACTTAAACTGTTGGAGGAGTAGCATTTTGAAAGAATTTCACAAAAATTTCTATTTTTAGTAACCATGGCAACATTGTTCAATAAAATCAAAAGCAATAATCAGAATTATGTATCTTACTGTAGTCTACCAATGTATTAAGTTACATTAAAATTGGACTAAAACTGTAGTGGAGGAAGCATTTTGAAAGAATTTTATAGAAATTTCTATTTTTAGTAATCATGGTAACACCATTCATCAAAATCAAAAACTGGGTAACAGAATTATGAACCTTAGTGTAGTCTACTTGTGTACCAAGTTATATTGTAATCAAATTAAATCTGTTGGAGAAGTATTTTGAAAGAATATCAAAGAAATTTCTAATTTTAGTAACCATGGTGACACTGTTCATCAAAATCAAAAACTGGGTTAGAGAATTATGAACCTTAGTGTAGTCTACTTGTGTACCAAGTTATACTGTAATTGGATTAAAACTGAAGGAGGAGTAGCATTTGAAAGAATTTGTAGAAATTTCTATTTTTAGTAACCATGGCAACACCATTCATTGAAATCAAAAACTGATATACTGATACACAAAATTTATAATGTATCAAAAGTGAAGTGTACTAGTGTACCAAGTTATGTTGAAATCAGACTAAAACCTGTTGGAGGAGAAGCATTTTGAAAGAATTTCAAAGAATTTTCTAATTTTAGTAACCATGGTAACACTGTTCATCAAAATCAAAAACTGATAAATAGAACTATGTAATCTACCTGTAATCTACCTGTGTTCCAAGTTATATTGAAATCTACAGACTACAACTGTAGGAGGAATAGTGTTTTCAAAGAATTTCAAAGAATTTTTTAATTTTAGTAACCACAGTAACACTGTTTATCGAAATCAAAAACTGATAAATAGAATTATGTAATCTACCTGTGTACCAAGTTATATTGCAATGGAACTGAAACTGCTGGAGGAGAAGCGTTTTAAAAGAATTCCACAGAAATTTCTATTTTTAGTAACCATTTAAACACTGTTAATTGAAGATCGTTTTTGAAATTGTTTACAGACAGTCAGATGGATGGACGACGGACACCTTACTATGGCATATTAATTAAGCTCTTCTGGTCTCTGACCAGTAGAGCTAGAAGTCACTCTGATTCTACACACATTATGTCAAGTACTCTGAAGTCGATATCAAAAGGATGCTGGAATTCTTCATTGACAACATCTATGCAGTCTTTGGAGACCAGTTTTCCATCAATCTGTTGGAATTTTATTAGCATTCAATATTGTGCTCCTTTATAAGTTGAACTGTTTTTATATTCTCATGAAGCAGAATTTTTTTGTAAGTTTTATATGACCCAAAAAGTCTAACAAGTAGTACCTACAAGTATATCAAAATAACAGTATCATGGTCATATGTCTTAGTAATAAACATTCATGAAATTTCAGTGTATCATGTGACAGATGCTTATTACACATGATCAATATTCCACTGTACCATATATAATCAAAAACTTAGAGATTTTTTTTTTTACAGAAAGTCATTTTTTCAACATACATGTATATAAGGCATCCATTCTGGTATATCACATCATGACAAGAGGCCCATAGGCCACAATACTCACCCTGAGCACTTTGGCTAGCGAAAAGCAGATATCAGTTCATTATTGAAAAATTCCAGTGTATAAGTGGTTCCAACCTAACCCCACCAAGGGGGGTCATGATTTAAACAAACTTGGATCTACACAAACTGACTAATTACGGCTTTAGAAGATATTTAAAGTTTTTCCTATGTAAAAATTTGATCTTCTTCTGTGGCCCGGCCCTACCCTTGGGGGTCATGATTTAGACAAAATGGAATTTACACTACCTGAAGATGCTTCTTTTTTAATATGGCTAATCATGGCTTAGCTGTTCTTGAGAAGAAGACTTTTTAGCTCACCTGAGCAGGAGGCTCAAGTGAGCTTTTCTGAAAAGCTAAATTTTATCTAAATTACTTTGATCCTCTGTTGTGACCCAATCCTACTACTGGGGTCATGAATTGAACAAACTTGAATCTACACTACCTGAGGATGCTTCTGTATTAATATAACTAATCATGGCTTTGTTGTTCTTGAGAAGAAGATTTTTAAAGATATTTCAGATATATGAAGTACATGTAGATGTATATTTTGAGTAATTTGATATATAAATGATAAATAAATAAATTTAAAATAGTTGATTATTACAAATAAGGTATTAATTTATTACCACCAATCCCTTTAGATCCCCCTACACATTTTTAAACAGACACTCACATTCATTGGCTGTATGCTTGTTTTCTATTAGTCAAGAGGTTTTACATTGTCTGGAGTGAATATTATTCAGTTTGAATTTCATGGTTCAGGACATAAAGAGTTATCTTATGATTTCCTGAATTTATTTAAATCTACATTTATATTTCTGACATTAATTCCTGGACAAAGACAGAGACATCTCTACAGTTTAAGTCAGACTGACTTGGTTCCATAAACCGAACCAGTTTTCATTACGTACATCAATGTTGAAATGATATAATGAATATATATTGAGAACTGGATATTCTTCTTTCTGATATTTTTGCCAGGAATTCCTATTCAAATATTCTTATGTATAAATTTGATTCCTTGTTGTGGACCCACCCTACCCCTGGGGGTCATGATTTAAACAAACTTGAATCTACATTACATGAGAATGTTTCTGTACTAATATGACTAATCATGTCTCTGCTGTTCTTGAGAAGATTTTTAAAGAAATTTCCTATATATTCCTATGTATAAATTTGATCCTGTTGTGGCTTCATCCTCCCATGGGGGGGGGGGGGGGTCATATTTTTAAACAAACTTTTAACAATACTACCTGAGGATGATTCTGTATCAATATGACTTCATTGCTGTTTTTGAGAAGAAAATTTTTAAACATTTTTCCTGTACAACTTTGATCCCCTTTTGTGCCTCTAGCCTACCCCTGGGGGTCATAATTTGCACTGCACAAACTTAAATCTACATTTGATACTGAAGATATCACATAAGTTTCAGTTTTTCTGGCACAGTTGTTCTTAAGATTTTTAAATTATGTAATTAAATTTCAACTAATTCTGTAATATTTCCCTTGAAAGACAGCTTAATTGGCCCCTCATTTGAAACAAAAGGCCCAAGGGCCTTGAATCACTCTTCTGATAAACTGTACAACCTATCACTTCTATTTGAAGCCTCAAAGTATCCTGTATATTTAGATAAAGCCTTGAAATTCCAAAGGTAGGTCATCATGACCTACATTTTAGATGAAACACTCTGAGAACCCAAGATGATATTAAGCCAATTAGTACCTAAGAGTTGGTCATGGTGGCCTACTTATCACTTGTCATTTTCTGAGGACCCAAGATGCATCAACTAAGTTTGATGATTGTAAGCCAATTAATACCTAAAACATTTTTAAAATTATAACCATAAAACTTCAAAAGTAGGTCACAGTGACCTACTTTTCAGATGACATACTTTGAGAACCTGACAAAGTTTGATGATTCTACGCAGTACAGTTAAGGTGCCAAATGGAAATATCGGCGAATTTTTTAAATAGAAAATATATTCTTTACAAGGATGGGCGTTTCTTTTAAGGACTTTACTATTATCGGACAAATGCAATGTGGTTGAAAACTACGTGTTGAGGACGATTGGATTTCCTATTTAGACTTGTCACGTTATATTTCCTAAAATCACGTGACTGCCACATCACGTGAAGTATTGAGGTCATCTATAAATTCTAATATTGCAAGGGCATAACCAAGTTAAAAATCTAAGTTTAACATATAGTTATTTTCAACACTCTTTGTAGTTTGTGAAAAGTGCTGCGAACCTATATAGATTCTACTATCTAATTGCTAAAATTGCATTTGTTAGACCTTATGTTGAATATTTTGCTGGTCAAGTACATTAAATATGGATATAATTAATTCATTTGCAAGATTTCAACAGGTTCGCAGCACTTTTCAAATATCTTCATACTTCTGGAGTTTATGTGTAAAAGCTTGTCATAATTCATTGAGGGTATGCCCTTGCAATATACTGATTTATTACGACCCTTCTATTACCCTTCAATGAATCTGCATACAAATATACGACAGTATCGCTTGTCTAGGGAATGTACTGGAAGTATATGAATAAAATCATAAAATAGACATCGCATCCAAGTTAATTGCCTCTTATATATCTAAAATTTATATTTTATTTAATTACAAAATACATTTTTCATTGTATAAATATAACTTGATCTGCCTCTCACAGCATACAAACTGCGTCAAATGTTATGATATGACG